GAACATGTGAGGATGATAAACAGTGTATTAGTATGCGCTGTGGGCTTTTACAGTCAATTTGTCTCTTACGTGGAGAGGAAAAACTGCCGAATATTAACCCGTTTTACGTAATCGAGGTTGTGCATAATCATCCACTCTCATTCAGACTTTTTTATGGGCATTTCGGGGATGATTTTAGGCACATTCTCCTCCAGTCTGCTGTGATTACGTGATCTGATTAATGAACGAGTGCAGTGAGCTGAGAAATTAGCATGTCATATGCAGGTGAAAGAATTTATGCGCTTAAAAATGTCTGAATGTCATTTGCCTTCATATTTTATTGTCTAATGCATGTTATAGCCTATATTGTATAGAAAGATGCACAAACGAAACGTATTTTACATGCAAAACGCTGAGGTTTATACAGTGTGAAATTCTGAAATAACAGATCTAGTGTTGAAGATGAAGACAGTTTTGGGTGTGTGTGTGTGTGTGTGTGTGTGTGTGGTTGGTGGATGATGTTGATCGTTAATGAGATTCTGCCTTGAGGAGAAAAACACCAGCTGATTCAAACATGACAAATGTGAATTTGTATGCCGCTGTTGCTTGCTTTCATTCACTAATCTTTATGATTGGATTTATTTGATAAAAAATACCGTAAAAATTGTGAAATATTATTATAATGTAAATCATCAGTTTTCTATGTGAATATATAGTAAAGTGTAATTTATTCCTGTGATCAAAGCTGAATTTTCAGCATCATTACTCCAGTCAGTGTCACATGATCCTTCAGAAATCACTCTTATATGATGATTTGATGCTCAATTATTATTATTATTAATATTTGTATCAATTTTGAGAACAGTTTAAACCAAAGGTTTAAGTGTAAGTGAAATGGTTCATGTTCATTTTGTAAAGAAATTAAGAAATGCATTCAGAAAATATGTTTTAAATTGATCATTAGTAACAGTAAATACATTTATTATGTTACAAATGATTCTATTTCAAATAAATGCCTTTCTATTCTTCAAAGAATCCTAAAAAATAAAATGTGTCATAATCATAAATGTTTCTTGATCCTCATATTAGAGTGATTTCTGAAGGATCATGTGACACTGAAGACTGGAGTAATGATGCTGAAAATTCAGCTTTGATCACAGGAATAAATGACATTTTAACATTATATTCACATAGAAAACAGCTGTATTAATATTCACATTTTTACTGTATCAATTGATTTTGATCAATCAAATAAATGAAAGCAACAACTGCAAACAAATGTACAATTTTTACTGTAGCAGAAGAGACTTAAAAAAAAAAACATTAAAAATGATTCCAAAGTCTTGTTTCTTTAGCAGATACAAGAGCTCCTGACTTTGCTTTGAGATCGATAGCATCTATATTAAAAATTGCACTTGTATAATGATGCACAGTAAAAATAGCTGACGTAATCCCCTCTCTGTTGTCCTCCACAGGTGTGTGATGTGTCTGAAAAATTTTTGGTCCCAAATTTGTATATACATTTTACTGGTAGTCACTGTATGAAAGCTTTTTGGGTATAACATGTCACAGTTTACTTTATTTTGCCTTCATAAATTTGCCTTGCACTTACATAAATGAACTATAGTGTCCTGCGCCCTCTAGTAAAAAAAAAATAGATGATATTGCTATAATTATCGCAAAAAAATAATTTTTGGTTTCACTGTATATTAAAAATTGCACTTGTATAATGAAGCACAGTAAAAATAGCTGACCTAATCCCCTCTCTGTAAATATTAAATAACACTTTACTATATATTCACGTAGAAAATATATTACTGTAGCAGAAGAGACTTTCAAATAACATTAAAAATGCTTTTCAAAGCTCCCGACTTTGCTTTGAGATTGATAGCATCTATATTAAAAATTGCACTTGTATGCATAATGATGCACAGTAAAAATACCTGACCTAATCCCCTCTCTGTAAATAATAAATAACACTTATTACTATATATTCACATAGAAAACAGCTGTTTTTCATTTAAAATATAGTAAAAAATTTGAAATATTATTACACTGTACCAGAAGAGACTTTCAAAAAACATTAAAAATGTTTCCAAAGTCTTGTTTCTTTAGCAGATACAAGAGCTCCTGACTTTGCTTTGAGATCGATACCATCTATATTAAAAATTGCACTTGTATAATGATGCACAGTAAAAATAGCTGACCTAATCACCTCTCTGTAAATAATAAATAACACCTTACTATATATTCACATAGAAAACAGCTTTTTTACATTGTAATAATATTTCACAATTTTTACTGTATTTTTACTGTAGCAGAAGAGACTTTCAAATAACATTAAAAATAATTTTATTTGACTTTTTATTTGCTTTGAGATCGATAGCATCTATATTAAAAATTGCACTTGTATAATGATGCCCAGTAAAAATAGCTGACGTAATCCCCTCTCTGTTGTCCTCCACAGGTGTGTGATGTGTCTGAAAATTTTTTGGTCCCAAATTTGTATATACATTTTACTGGTAGTCACTGTATGAAAGCTTTTTGGGTATAATATGTCACAGTTTACTTTATTTTGCCTTCATAAATTTGCCTTGCACTTACATAAATGAACTATAGTGTCCTGCGCCCTCTAGTAAAAAAAAAATAGATGATATTGCTATAATTATCGCAAAAAAATAATTTTTGGTTTCACTGTATATTAAAAATTGCACTTGTATAATGAAGCACAGTAAAAATAGCTGACCTAATCCCCTCTCTGTAAATATTAAATAACACTTTACTATATATTCACGTAGAAAATATATTACTGTAGCAGAAGAGACTTTCAAATAACATTAAAAATGCTTTTCAAAGCTCCCGACTTTGCTTTGAGATTGATAGCATCTATATTAAAAATTGCACTTGTATGCATAATGATGCACAGTAAAAATACCTGACCTAATCCCCTCTCTGTAAATAATAAATAACACTTATTACTATATATTCACATAGAAAACAGCTGTTTTTCATTTAAAATACAGTAAAAAATTTGAAATATTATTACACTGTACCAGAAGAGACTTTCAAAAAACATTAAAAATGTTTCCAAAGTCTTGTTTCTTTAGCAGATACAAGAGCTCCTGACTTTGCTTTGAGATCGATACCATCTATATTAAAAATTGCACTTGTATAATGATGCACAGTAAAAATAGCTGACCTGATCACCTCTCTGTAAATAATAAATAACACCTTAATATATATTCACATAGAAAACAGCTTTTTTACATTGTAATAATATTTCACAATTTTTACTGTATTTTTACTGTAGCAGAAGAGACTTTCAAATAACATTAAAAATAATTTTATTTGACTTTTTATTTGCTTTGAGATCGATAGCATCTATATTAAAAATTGCACTTGTATAATGATGCACAGTAAACATCAATGACCTAATCACCTCTCTGTAAATAATAAATAACACTTTACTATATATTCACATTGAAAACAGCTGTTTTTACATTGTAATATTATTTCACAATTTTTACTGTATTTTTACTGTAGCAGAAGAGACTTTCAAATAACATTAAAAATGATTTTACTAGATTTTTTATTTGCTTTGAGATCGATAGCATCTATATTAAAAATTGCACTTGTATAATGATGCACAGTAAAAATAGCTGACGTAATCCCCTCTCTGTTGTCCTCCACAGGTGTGTAGTGTGACGTGTCTGAATCATTTTTGGTCCCAAATTTGTATAACTTTTACTGGTAGTCACTGTATGAAAACTTTTTGGGTATAATATGTCACAGGTTATTTTATTTTGCCTTCATAAATTTGCCTTGCACTTACATAAATGAACTATAGTGTCCTGCACCCTCTAGTAAAAAAAAAAGATGAAAAATGATATTGCTATAATTATCGCAAAAAAATTATTTTTGGTTTCACTGTATATTAAAAATTGCACTTGTATAATGAAGCACAGTAAAAATCACTGACCTAATCACCTCTCTGTAAATAATAAATAACACTTAACTATATATTCACATAGAAAACAGCTGTTTTACATTGTAATAATATTTCACAATTTTTACTGTATTTTTACTGTAGCAGAAGAGACTTTCAAATAACATTAAAAATAATTTTATTTGACTTTTTATTTGCTTTGAGATCGATAGCATCTATATTAAAAATTGCACTTGTATAATGAAGCACAGTAAAAATCACTGACCTAACCACCTCTCTGTAAATAATAAATTACACTTTACTATATATTCACATTGAAAACAGCTGTTTTTACATTGTAATATTATTTCACAATTTCTACTGTATTTTTACTGTAGCAGAAGAGACTTTCAAAGAACATTAAAAATGATTTTACTAGATTTTTTATTTGCTTTGTGATCGATAGCATCTATATTAAAAATTGCACTTGTATAATGATGCCCAGTAAAAATAGCTGACGTAATCCCCTCTCTGTTGTCCTCCACAGGTGTGTAGTGTGACGTGTCTGAATCATTTTTGGTCCCAAATTTGTATAACTTTTACTGGTAGTCACTGTATGAAAACTTTTGGGGTATAATATGTCACAGGTTATTTTATTTTGCCTTCATAAATTTGCCTTGCACTTACATAAATGAACTATAGTGTCCTGCACCCTCTAGTAAAAAAAAAAAGATGAAAAATGATATTGCTATAATTATCGCAAAAAAAATATTTTTGGTTTCACTGTATATTAAAAATTGCACTTGTATAATGAAGCACAGTAAAAATCACTGACCTAATCACCTCTCTGTAAATAATAAATAACACTTTACTATATATTCACATAGAAAACAGCTGTTTTACATTGTAATAATATTTCACAATTTTTACTGTATTTTTACTGTAGCAGAAGAGACTTTCAAATAACATTAAAAATTATTTTATTGGATTTTTTTATTTGCTTTGAGATCGATAGCATCTATGTTAAAAATTGCACTTGTATAATTATGCACAGTAAAAATAGCTGACGTAATGCCCTCTCTGTTGTCCTCCACAGGTGTGTAGAGTGACGCGGAGGGAGGCTCATGGCTTCCTCATGGGGCCGGGGCCGGCTGTGGTGTCTGGGTCTGATTCTGGCCCTCGCGTCCCCTAACCCCTGCTCGGGTTGCCCACCTCGCTGTGACTGCGCGCCTCAGCTCCGCTCCGTGTCCTGCCAGCGCAAGCGCTTATCCGGCGTTCCCGAGGGCATCCCGACAGAGACCAGGCTCCTGGACTTAAGCCGGAACCGGTTGCGCTGGGTCGCGCCGGGAGATCTGGCTCCGTATCCGCGTCTGGAAGATGTGGATCTCAGCGAGAATCTCATCACGACGCTGGAGCCCAACGCCTTCGCTAGCCTTCAGGCCCTGCGCTCGCTGAGACTCCGGGGAAACCAGCTGAAGCTCGTGCCCATGGGAGCGTTCGCACGACTCGCTAACCTCACCACACTGGACCTGAGTGAGAACAAGATCGTCATCCTGCTGGACTACACCTTCCAGGATCTGCGCAGTCTCAAACATTTAGAGGTCAGTGTGTAAAATACTGTCGCTTTTGGCTTGCTTAGTTGGGGGCATTTAACATTTAAAGGTGCATTGTGTAATATTTAGGAGGATCTGTTGACAGAAATGCAATATCATATATAGGTGAATCTCAAAAAATCCGAATATCGTGCAAAAGTTCATTTATTTCAGTAATTCAACTTAAAAGGTGAAACTAATATATTATATAGACTCATTACGTGCAAAGTGAGATATTTCAAGCCTTAGTTATAATTGTGAGGTTACAGATATGAAAACATTTTCACAATATTCTAATTTTGAATTTGGGGTTTTCATAAGCTGTAAGCCATAATCATCAAAATTATAACAAATAAAGGCTTGAAATATCTCACTTTGCATGTAATGAGTCTATATAATATATTAGTTTCACCTTTTAAGTTGAATTACTGAAATAAATGAACTTTTGCACCATATTCTCATTTTTTGAGTTTCACCTGTACATAACTGTGTTTCCAGTGGTGTATAAAGATCTTACATAATGACCCGTTATGTGTTTATTAGCTTAGAATGAGGCGTTTCTCTCTACACACACCGCGGGTCCGCTTACATCCACATATTTCTACGGTGGCCCTGAGCGGACAAACGCGTTTCGTCACTATGTTGTTCTTCATGTTAAGAAGCTGCAAAAGTCAGCGAATAAAACACTGACACAATGATGAACAAGTCACAATAATATTCGCAATAACATCGTTTTACTGAATAATCAAGTAAACATAATTTCTTAATTTATCTTTGTAAAGAACCTCATTGCTGAACTGGCTACTCTCTGCTGTCTCAGACGACGACATCACTTCCTGTCGGCCACCGTAACTTCTGTTGGGTGCAATGCGCAAACTCACCACTAGATGCGCTAAAAAATTACACACTGCACCTTTAATATTCAACAATATTATTGATCTCCTGCATTGACACCATTATATGAGAACTGAGCTGGACGATGACATCACAGTTTTCTACAGAGCGGCTATATATATAAAATAACTAAATTAATAACTTTTTTACAACAAAAATGAACCATCACTGAACTTACCTAAGCTGGACTGTGACGCTATTTTCTTCTAGAAACAAACTTTGTTGCATTATTTTCCTGTTATCTCTGTAAAGCTGCTTAAAAAGCGCTGTATAAATAAATGTGACTTGACTTAAAAGTCCCTGAAAGGAAAGTCTGTGCACTTTGCTGCCAGCTGTTTTTATTTCTAGGACAGGACTTACCAAAACAGGGAACTGATTAAATTATAACTAAAAGCATAAATAAATGGAGCTGCACAATTGTGATTATGAAATCAAAGGCTGCGGTTTAATTAAACTCGTATATAATCCTGTACGCGCGAGCAGCTCCTGATCTGGTGTTCTCCAGTTTTGTTTTTTTACAACAATTAATGTGATGAATTGAAGACATAAATATTAGTATTGTAGTGTAGAGTTATTTATTATTTTATTATTCATTATTCATATTTATTTTTATATTTTATTATATTGATCAGATATTCATTTTTATTTTACAGTTCGATTTTTATTTATTTTCATGATGCAAACTAAATAAGTGAAATAATATTTATATACACTAACTATATATATATATATATGAAAATAATAGATTTTTTGTTGATTATTTATTCAATAATTTATTTCCAGGCTAATCCAGATGTTGTCCATGTGTTCACAACAAAATGACTAAATATGTAATTAAAATAAAAATGAATGCTTATTTGTTTATTTTTATTTTTTTCCCATGTTAATCCAGAGATGTTGTGCAAGTATTTACAAAAAAATGTAAAAATGTATTTATCTATTTATTAGTTTATTTATTCATTTCCAAATTAATCCAGATGTTGTGCATGTATTTTTACAAAATACTAAACATTTAACTAAAATTAAAATTAAATTGAAAGCATATTTTTTATTTGTTTGTCTGTTCATTTGTTTATTTCCAGGATAATCCAGTTGTGCACGCATTCACAACAAATTTACAAAAATGTATTTTATTTATTTATTTATTTCCACGCTAATCAAGAGATGTTGTGCATGAATTTACAACAAAATTACTAAAAATGTATTTAATTATTTTATTTCCAAACTAATCCAGATGTTGTGCATGTGTTTACAAAAAAATTACTAAAATTTAACTCAAATGAAAATTAATTTGAAAGCATATTTATTTATTTATTTCCAAGCTTATCCAGATGTTGTGCATGCATTCACTACAAAACCCCATATATTTATTTATTTATTTCCAAACTAATCCAGATGTTGTGCATGTATTTACAAAAAATTACTGAAATTGAACTAAAATAAAAATTAAATTGAAAGATTTATTTATTTATTTATAAATAATAAATAGCTAATCGGGCTGTTGGGCATGCATTCACAACTAAATTACTAAAAACAATGTATTTATTTCCAAGATAATCCAGATGTTGTGCATGCATTCACAACAAAATTACAAACAAAAAAAAGTATTTATTTTCAAGATAATCCAGATATTGTGCATGCATTCACAACAAAATTACTAAAAATGTATTTATTTATTTACAAACTAATCCAGATCATGTGCATGTATTTACAAAAATTACTAACATTTCACTAAAATGAAAATGAAATTGAAAGCATATTTATTTATTTATTTATTTTCAAGCTAATCCAGATGTTGTGCATGCATTCACTACAAAAACGTATATTTATTTATTTATTTATTTCCAAACTAATCCAGATGTTTTGCATATATTTACAAAAAAATTACTGAAATTTAACTAAAATAAAAATGAAATTGAAAGATTTATTTATTTATAAATAATAAATAGCTAATCGGGATGTTGGGCATGCATTCACAACTAAATTACTAAAAAAAACTTTATTTATTTATTTACAAACTAATCCAGATGTTGTACATGCATTCACAACTAAATTACTTAAAAACTTATTTATAGCCTATATTTATTTATTTCTAAGCTAATCCAGATGTTGTGCATGCATTCTCAACAAAATTACTAAAAATGAATGAATTATTTTCCAAGCTAATACAAATATTGTGCATGCGTTCTGGAGAAAAACACAAGCATTGGCTCTCTCAAATATCACTGTTTTTCAGTCTACTTCTCAGGCCATTCCTTTAATGACTTTGACTTTGAACACAGTCTCTGTGCTTCTGCTGTGCTTCAGTAAAACAATCTGATTGCAGTGGTAATAACAATTCTGTCCTGGTTTTCCAGGTGGGGGACAATGACCTGGTCTACATCTCTCACAAGGCTTTCTCAGGACTGATAGGCCTGGAAGATCTGACCATCGAGAGGTGCAACCTGACGTCCATATCGGGCCAGACTCTGTCGTATCTGCGAAACCTGGTGACCCTCCGCCTGCGCCACCTCAGCATCTCCGCTCTCGAGGACCAGAACTTCCGCAAGCTTTCCGCACTGAGAGGACTGGAGATCGACAACTGGCCCTACCTGGAGTACATCTCTCCGCTGAGCTTCCAGGGTCTCAATCTCTCCTGGCTCTTCATCACCAACACCAACATCACCTCCGTCCCGTCAGCGTCCTTCCGAAACCTGGCCTACCTGACGTCTCTGAACCTGTCCTACAACCCCATCTCCGTGCTCGAGTCCTGGGCCTTCAGAGACCTCATCAGGCGTGTGGAAATATTATCTCGTTTTACATGTCACGTCATCAGGGTTTGAAATTCACTTTTTCACTCACCGCCCAATTTGGCTAGTACATTTTTAAGTTACCGGCCATTTAACATTTCTACTAGCCAAAAAAAAAGAAGAAAAAATAAACCAGATTAACTATATATATATATACAGGTGAAACTCAAAAAATTTGAATATGGTGCAAAAGTTCATTAATTTCAGTAATTCAACTTAAAAGGTGAAACTAATATATTATATAGACTCGTTACATGCAAAGTGAGATATTTCAAGCCTTTATTTGTTATAATTTGGGTGATTATGGCGTACAGCTTATGAAAACCTTTTCACAATATTCTTGAATTTGGGGGATTCATATCTGTAAGCCATAATCATCACAATTATAACAAATAAAGGCTTGAAATATCTCACTTTGCATGTAATGAGTCTATATAATATATTAGTTTCTCCTTTTAATTTGAACTTTTGCACGATATTCTAATTTTTAGAGTTTCACCTGTAGATATAAAATTTGGATTTCATACATTAATTTCTTATTTATACAAAATCCGGTCATCCAGCGTCTCCTCTCTTCCTCTTTCATCCTCATCACCATAAATGTGTTTTATGGGGACAGATCAGTACAGCACACAGAACATGTCGGATGTTGGAAAATAACAATGTCTTTTCTGTTCACCAAATACTTTTTAATATTCGCTATTGCTTCAATCCAAGTGAACTAGCGCGCTGTTATTTGTTGTGTGGTGACGTGTGTGTGTGTGTGTTCAAGTAAGCCAGAAATGAGCAGATTCTGCAATGCGCTGTATTTAATATATCAAGAGGATCACGAGTATTTGCGCTAAATCTGCACAGATTTGTCTACACGAACTTCCCCAGAAAAGCGATTAAATATAATAAGTAACACAACAAATTGACTCGTGATTTAACAGGGTTTCCGCCACTGTCGATTTTTACACTCATTTGGCGAGTGTTCATTTCAAACCATGTGTGTGACCATTAACTTACAACTATATAAGTGTATTTTACGTCGAATCGGTTCCCTAAACATGCACAGCTAATCTGCTGAAACGAGGAAAGACTCTGAAACTGTCATAAATATAATGTGTCAAATTAGCACTACATATAACAAACTGTATTTGCTGTATATTTATACATTTAGAAGACGCTTTTATTCAAAGTGATTTAGGCCTACTGCAATTATGTTTTTTCCTTAGTTGGTCAGAAGGAAAGTGGATGTTACTTGTTCAGACATTTTAGGGTGAAAATTATTATGTTGGTCATACTTCCAAAAAGAATAATCTGTGATTGTGAATGGCAGTATCCACACCGGCGGCGACTGACACACACACACTCTCCTCAAACACTGTGTTCATCCGCGCTGTGCCGAGCCGAGGCACAACTCACGTAAAGTTAATAAATCCGCGAATAACTGCAATTGCAGATTTCGAACAGAGATGGCGACAGAGAGGAAAAACTGCGGTCTGCAGCTTTAATATATTATATATTATAATTTTTTTTACATTTTTCAGGCTAGCACATATTTTTTGGAAAAACTATATCTAGAGGGTTATTCTACCTGAAAAGACTTCTATTCCTTTAGTCACAATTCTGTACATTTCCTAAACATGGCCCGTCTCCATCCGAGTGCATCATTCCACGTTTTGCTCAATAAAACCCCTTTAACTGCAGTCGTAATAATAACTCTGTCCTTGTTTTCCAGGCTGAAGGAACTGCACATGATCAGCACAAACCTGCTGACCGTCGAGCCGCACGCTTTAGGAGGCTTACGGCAAATCCGAGTCCTGAATCTGTCCAACAACGAGCTGGTGACTCTGGAGGAGAGTTCGTTCCACTCGGTGAACAGTCTCGAGACGCTCCGAGTGGACGGGAACCCGCTGTCCTGCGACTGCCGCTTGCTGTGGATCCTTCAGCGCCGACGAACCCTGAACTTCGACGGGAAGATGCCGGTGTGCGCCGGACCTCCAGAAGTCCAGGGGTTCATGTTGAGCACCTTCACGGATTCGGCGTTATTCGATTACTTCACCTGTCAGAAGCCGAAGATTCGAAACCGTAAGTTGCAACAGGTCACGGCAAACGAAGGCCAACCGGTTTCGTTTCAGTGCCGTGCCGAAGGCGAACCGGTTCCGGCGATTATATGGATCTCGCCTCAGCGAAGACGAATCACTCCGAAGTCAAACGGGAGGATTACGGTTCTCCCGGGCGGGACGCTTGAGATTCGCTACGCACAAGTGACGGACAGTGGTACGTATATCTGCATTGCTAGCAACGCCGGCGGAAACGACACATACTTCGCGACGCTAACCGTCAAAAGCCAACCGGCGGATTCGGCGTTCGTCTCCAATCGTTCGCTGTACGCGGCGGATTTCAACGACACCGGGCTCAACAGCACGCGTGTTTTCCTGAAGTTCACGCTGGACTTGACCACCATCCTCGTGTCCACGGCCATGGGGTGCATCACGTTCCTGGGCGTCGTGCTCTTCTGCTTCCTCCTGCTGTTCGTGTGGAGTCGGGGACGCGGACAACGCAAAAATAACTTCACCGTGGAGTATTCGTTCAGGAAGACCGAAGGGCCGGCCACCACCGCGGGAGCCGGAGCCACGCGCAAGTTCAACATGAAGATGATATGAAACCACGCAGCCAGGGGCCCAATGGGGGAAGCTTAGACGCCCAACACTCACACACACAGTGCTGATGCGCAGAAACACACACACACACGCCGGCTATGTGGTATTACTATTCTACGATATTTTATTAACTAAAACTATTTAAAGAAGCCTACTTAAAATGAATACAATTAAAATGAAGTAATAACTCATCTAAAAACTAAATAAAAACCAAATGAAAATATATATATCATTTTAGTTAAAGTTTTCATAAGTTTGTTGTGTTTTTGTTTGTTTGGTTTTATTTTTTTAATTGCATTTTTTTCATATATATATTTTTTCAGTGTATTAAGTATATATCAGTAAATTAAATGATTATTTTTTTTAAAAATCAGTATTTTTTTTATATTTTCTGTTTTCATTTTAGGTTTTTTAGTGTATTTAGTATATATTAGTATATTCAATATATTTAATAATATATATAATTTAATGTCAATTACACTTTTATATTTTTTTCAGTTATATAATGTCTTATTTTTAGTATTTTTATTTAAGTTTTAGTTTACTTATTTTCACTTTTATTAATGTTAGTACTTCTACTTTAAACAAAAATCAGAAATGTTTTATTTGTATTAATGTACTATTTTTTAAATAGTTTTAGTTAACAATATTAACGCTATACACACAAGCCAGATCTTGATGTGACGACCCTGTTCTCACTATTTCTATTCCAGCTGATGGTTAAAAATATAGACTTTTTGCACTTTTAGGAGCAAATTGCAATTGGGAATACTCAGATTTGCATTTATTAACTGCATTTTAAGACTTTAATAGGTTTCCTTTCACCTGTTTCCCGGCTCAGATCTGTCTTCTTAAAGCTGCTGAGCTTCCAGTGAGTTTATAAAAACTAATGGCAAGTAAATGTGCTCTTTAGAGTTGCTAATTAGCATAGTAATTTAGAGACAAATGCAGCCGAGGCAATTTCCATAATGCGCTCCTCTAATACAACGCCCACTTCCACAAAGCCACAGCTGAGCGGAGAAAACAACCCGCACTAAATTAGACGTGAATCGATTGATTTCGCAAATTGTAATGGTGTGTTTGATTTGCACCGAACAGCAAACAAACACCATGACAGGAACCGTGACCGGCGTTCTGCGATGAGCAACTGTGTGTGAGTTGGGTCAAACACACCGGCCCGATCGCTGTCAGCCAGAAGCACGGCGGGGTTTATGAAGCCAAGCCTTCGCTTCGGACTGCAGTTTGACGTGCCTAAACCGGGTCAGATGAGGTCAGGGTTGCTGATTACCCACAATCCCCCTCTCTCAGCCTCGGTTCACGCACACGCCGACGACCCACTGGCCTTCATGGGGGCAGGCGCCTGGGTGTCGAGTCCGCTAGCCGTCATGCACAGAGAAAAACACGCACGCGCACACTAAAGCCATATGTTTATAAGAGGTTTACAGCAATAGATCGACCGCACTTTGATTCATATTCTAATATTGCAAGTGCATATTTTATTCCCTTTACAGTAAGGTTCAAACACACTGTATTTCTAAAGCATTTGAAGATGAAGAGGAATAAATACGGTAACAAATGCATTAACTAATGGGACCTTATTGTAAAGTGCGACCGCAATAGATCGCCCGCACTTTGATTCATATTCAAATATTGCATAATATTGCAAGTGCATATTTTATTCCTTTTACAATAAAGTTCAAACACACAGTACTTCTAAAGCATTTGAAGATGAATAAATACTGTAACAAATGCTTTAACTAATGGGACCTTGTATGTGCAAACTTTTTATTTTATCGACTCACTTTAATCCTTAAGTAATAAACTACGGTTACACTTTATTTTACGGTGTCATTGTTACAGTGTAATTATGTATTTAAGCACTGAGTAATATTAAGCAACTACATGTATTACTATAGGGTTTGGTAGTGGGTTACTTGCATGTAATTATGCATAATTTACTGTTATTACTACGGTAAGCACATGTAACATATGTAACAAGGACACCGTAAAATAGTGTTACCTAAAGTAATAAGTGATTCATTAATGCACATTTATCGTTTATGCATCATCACTGTGAGTTCATTTTCATCGCATTCGCCACTAATTGCTATACAGTGAAATTGCACATAATAATAATAATATGGCATATAGTGTATAATGTTAGATGCATCTCTTCAGGATTTAGATTCGCTTGCACTGAACGTTTGCCATAATGCACAATGATGATTCAGCACACATGCGTGCTTTTCTCTCATCCTGACGGTTTGTTTCGGCCGGTGTGTGAAAGTCTCTGCTTCTCCTGCCCAGTCCAACACCCCCCATATGATGATGTCATTTCCTTTCCCCATATGATGTCACCCCCCCGACTGGGTCTCAATGAGGGAGGGTCCCTGGCTGGTGACCACGGATGTACACGTCGCCCATCTAGTCCATGTGTCTGTGACTGTAGAGCGTATTATATTTCAAGCATTCGTTTCAAATGTACTTTGAATTGTTTCTTTTCTTTAGTGTTTTGAAAGAAAAATATACGTCAACCGAAACTTTAACAGAATCTGTTGTCAGCACTGCAGAAACGCAGGTTTATTGAGGTCTTTTAAACGAATCCTCGGACCGGCAGCTGGTGTTGAAAACAGATAAGTTAACCAATATGCTACAAGAGCCATAAACAAAGAATGTTGAAACTTAGACTCACCCGGAGTGTGTGTGTGTGATATGACAAATACAGTCAAACCTGCTGGATTTACTTTGAAACAACTCAGAAATTGCGCGTGAAATGTGTTGAATCAAACGTACTCCAATAATCTAAACTTTGGAGAAATAATTTTCACATGATGTTGTCATCCTAACAAGATTAGTAAATGTTAATACAGTTCTTATTATCAATCATGGATTATATTCATTGTGCATTATTGCCCTGTCGTCTTCAGCTGTAATGAAGGGCAAAGGCTTTGGGGAAAGACATGAATCGTTGATGCTCTATTGAGTTTGACTTACATAATAGACTGAGAGTCATGTTGCAAAGCTAGTCATGCTTTGCTAACTGAAGACACACACTACGCTCTGGTCAACAATCTAGTGCACTTGGTAGGCTCCTAATGAGAAAATGATTCTGCTTTCATGATGCCTTGTTTTGGTGTAATTCGAACACTCGCCAAGCCTCAAATGCGAGTACAAATCACTGTTGGCGAGTGTATGAAACGCTGTCGGCCGGTAACATTTTTATAAATTCTAACAATGCAAAATTGTGGCAACATGAAAGTTTAAGCCTTGCCGATTTAAATATTCAAGCACAAGAAGAAGCGTAAGGGAACTCAAATTAAGTTTTCTGTGCAAACATCCGAAGCATATTCAAACAAAATTGTCAAAATGCCTGTCTTGGCAAATATCATTGTAAACATAACAGTTATATCTTAACGTAAAAATGCATGTGTATCAGTATATTGGATCCATGCATTCGCTCTTAAAGTGACAGTAGCCTCATATTCCTGCAGCTGTCTTTGTTTTTAATGTTAATAAAACAACAAAAAACAAACAACAATCACTCATTACTCTTGACTGAATAACTTTTGCAACTTTAATAAGGATTAATCTGTTTCGTGGCTGGTAAAAAATATCTTGAGTGAGAGAGTGTGTGTGTGTGTGTGAGAGAGAGAGAGAGATTGTGGTTGAATGTGTGTGTGATTGTGCCTGCGTGCATACAAGAGTGCATGCGTGTGTGAGTATGAGTGTTTGTGTGAGTGTGTGCAAGAGTGCATGTGTGTGTGTGAGTATGAGTGTTTGGTGTGTGTGAGAGAGAGTGAGATTGTGTGTGTGCGTGTGTTACCACTAACACTATAGAGCATTTCAAATCATCTCATATTTCAATTGTTACCTTAGAAGACAGAGCGATCACACTTTAATAATTAGTGTAATCTTTGATGACATTAAGTGGTTAATCTCATCTTGTGACGATTAAACAATATGATATTATCTAATTAGTTATGCTGACATCAGTTGAGCCCTGTTTCAGTGTGACGTCCAGCTGGTTTGCCTGTATTTCATGTTTGAAAACTGGGACAAATGAGAGTCTGATGATTAGTGAAGTAAACATATCAGGTTTTGTGACCCTTATCTGTTTGGTTTGACTCGTTTCATTGTTCTCAGACCTCACCGACATCATCCACAGTCAGTAGGTACGAGTTGTGGTCGTGTGATACAGTAGATGTTGTCCATGTGGCCTGTGATTCGATGTTGTTGATCGGTTGAACTGTTTGTTTAGTTAGCTCTTTCTGTTAGCGTTAGCCGCTAGCCGTGCAGTCAGTCACAGTGTTTAGGTGTGGTGATAATGATAATGTAGAGCGAAGGATCGGAGGCTCAGCCGGGATTGATTTAACCCTTGAACGCCCGGCTCCCTCTTTCCCAAACCCTTCCTTTCGACATCTAATCTCCTCAATCGTTCATGATGAACTGGATTCAGTGCGACGCTCTTCTGTGCTGAAAAGACACTGTTCAAAGCTGGTCTGGATTATTTGTAAGGATTTTTAAAGCGTACTCAACATATTTGCTCCCTTTTCCGAACTTTTAATCCATTTTGTTTGCAAAAATGTCTGATGATAGCCTACTAAAGGGTTGAGCAAAATTCAGAATTTAAGAATTGACATTGACCACACAATGTTTAATTGGAATGACATAGTTGAAACTTTAATTGCTTTTCAATTAAACTTTTGACTAATTATATTCCTAACTAAAAGTTTCATATTCTGAAATGTATTTAATTCGTAAACCAGAGCATTCTGGGAAATGTCGTGTTTTGTATTTGCCAATTAAGTGTTATTTTAGTATCATTGATATAGGCTAGCTACTATTATAGTTTTTTTCTGTTTTGTAATTTTTATTAGTGTATTTTTATGTGTTTATATAATTTTTGACTATACTATTTAATTTATTATTTTAGTAGCTACTTCAACTTAAACCAAACAAAAAAAAAAAGAAATTTTGCCTTTGGCAACTAGCTGAAATAAAATTATTTTACTTTTTTATATATTTTATTTCAGTTAACGGTTATTTTATT